TATTCAGTGGACGATATTCATCTATAGTTGTTTCTTGTACCTGACTTACTTTGATTTAGTGTGTTATTCGTCTGTCAATATGTTGATTTAGAAACATGGGTCCCGCGCCATATCTTAATTTGTCCAAAGGAAATTGTCTTTAAAGAAATATTTACTGTCATTCTAATGTCGATATTGCTATCAGCAAATCTCAGTTAAGTAAGCATCAACTCTGTAAATGCGTATCAGTGTTTGACACAAAGTGTCATATATGTTACAGCGCTTATCCAAATACTGAAGACTGTGTAATTAACGTCATCACTAAATTAATGAAAGAAATTTGTCACATCAGTCTCCGAATTGTATTGCCTGTATAATTATTAGTCAATGTAAAACCAACCCCAAACTGATTATATAGCATTTTATGTTTATCCCTATATTTCAGATAATATACATGCATGTTGAAATTTTATCGCTACCTCATTCACAATGTGCATAAGGACGTGGGTCACGTCCTTCCTTACAGAAAGGGCGTATATCGTAGGCAGTTTGGAACAGGGTTTATCAGGGATATTTATAATATTCCTTGAGTAAGTAAATTGAATATCTCTCTAAGTAATGACCATGCTGTCAGTGGAAATGAAATCAACACAGCTTGACCATTGTCATCATGGCCACCATCATAGAGTCATTAGCTGCATATAATCAAAGTTAGACAAAGTCTGGTTGGCCACTGAAGCATGACAATGTGGATGAGGTGCGGGATACTGCAGGCTGACCACACATCTGTCGTAAATGCGACACGAGACAGTCTGATCAGACCTTTAGGGATAAATTGAGAATGCTTTGTGTTAGTCGAGATTTGACCCTGAGACAGTGACTAGGCAGGTTGGCTGACCATCGCCTCCGACATGCCGCCTAGTCATTGTTGTAACATCATGCAGTTATACGTATTGAATCACGAATAAAAGTGTTGTGGACCCACTGATGGACTCCTGTATTTGAAGACACAGTTATCCCCTTTTAAACAGCCAGGGATACTGGTTATCTAGACTGACAATGTATCTCATCACATCAAGTGAGGGGTGGGTGCGTGAGTGAGTGAGTGAGGGTGATTTAACGCTGCTTTGAATATTTTTATCTTCTATATTTTATATCCGACATATTTGGTCATATTACATTTTGGGCTAATGTTTGTTCTTCAATGTTCTTTTATAAGATTTTATAAGCTTTTATAAGCTTTAAATATTGTAGAGTATAGTTTTGACCAGCCTTAGAACATAATCCTAGCTAATTTGTATTCGAACCCACAATCAGAAAACGCTGACTTACTCAATCATCGTTGTGGACGCTATGGATGTTGATACGCATTGCTGACCCGTGAAGATCCGGGGTAGAATAGGTCTTCAGCAACCCATGTGCTTGCCATAAAAAGGAGACTATCTTGTCGTAAGAGGCGACTAACGGGATCGGGTGGTCAGTTTCGCTGACTTGGTTGACACATGTCATCGGTTCCCAATTGCGCAGATCGATGCTCATGCTGTTGATCACTGGATTGTCTGGTCCAGACTTGATTATTTACAGACCGCCGCCATGTAGGTGGAATATTGCTGAGTGCGGCGTAAAACTAAACTCACTCACTCACTGATACGCATTGCTATCATTTGCAATGACTGAATCTGGTATGAATCTGATGAATGAATATATTGTCATCTTAACTACACTTTTAATACTTTTAATATGAACATCGGTGTTGAATACATATTTGTCATCTTAACAACATTTGCAACAACTGCATCTGTGTTGAAAAAAAATGTGTGTTGGATACATATATTGCGATGCTACCAATATGTGCAATAACTACATCTGTGTTGGTTACATATATTGTCATGCTACCAATATGTGCAATAACTACATCTGTGTGGGATACATATATTGCCATGCTACCAATATGTGCAATAACTACATCTGTGTTGGTTACATATATTGTCATGCCACCAATATGTGCAATAACTACATCTGTGTGAGATACATAAATTGCCATGCTACCAATATGTGCAATAACTACATCTGTGTGGGATACATATATTGTCATCTTACTGATATTTGCAATTACTACACCTGTGTTAAATCCACACATTGACATTTAATATTTGCACTTAATAAATTTGTTTTTCCCTGATTATGAAATTATGTTATGAAATTAGATCAGTTTTGCAGATCGGTTTTTATGGATATGAATTAGAAATATGTGTTCAGATCGGCACAATCAAAACAAGTTAATTTGGCCAAGAGTGTACATGTATCTTCAAGTAAAGGTAGTAAAGGAGACAAGGGAGACCGCTTAGTGTGTTTCCGATTTAAATGTAAGCATAAAGAGTCAGAGACACAAAAGTCTCTCCACAAAGCTACACGGCAAAAGGGATGATTTCAACTGTCAACTTTCCGTTCCTGTCCAGCAATATTCCAACAGCTCCAGCGCCAGTGTTTCATTTTCACATCTTTTGAGATAGAATCGAGTATGCTCTTGTAACCTAGATTTCAAAGCGCGTCATCCAATTCTTACTCAGAAGTTGTTCGATCAGTGTTACAACATTCAATGAATGGTGGGGTAGCCTGGTGGTTACCAGTAAATGTTGCTTTAAACCGCATCAGCAAGTTTCCAGATATTGGCGGCCACTATTTGATAGGAATTCATGAGCATGTATAAATGGTACAGTCTCAATTTTAAAATCGAAAGTCCTTTTAGCAGAGAAAACCTGGTATAATCACTGTTTGATAGTAATTCATGAGCACGTGCAGATGTTACAGTCACAATAGTAAAATCGTAACTGCAGGGATTATTATTTTAATGAAAAGGCTCTGTCACTATTATGTACTCCTCTGAAATAATTGAGGCAATAACAGTCACAAGAGGTCCTTAGAGAAACACAATAAATATCACGGCATGTTTGCAGAGATGAAGCGAGCATCAAACTGCGAGCTATTGTATTTACTATCCAGTACCGTCAATACTATATGTCAACCAAGTATACATTCCATAATAGAAAAATTGAGAGCCAGTGAGTCCTCTTGTGCAGTTTACATTCATTATGCAAGAAAGATATGTAAGTATATCTTTATTACTACGTTTATTGACAAATGCCCCAATGATCAAGGACTGAAACTTTTCCTTATGTTTGTCATGGGGAATTGTTGTGTACAACGTTCTTAAATGGAATGTTTTCTGACAAATGAACTCGGTCCGTTTCTGAGATGTAAACATTCAAACAAATCCTTTGAGTATTGAGGATCCATATGGTTTCAACTATACTTGTTTCAAATATTGTCTGTAAATATAGAGAAAGTCCTTCCTTGGTTGTATTAAGGGTCATGGTTAAGCTTTTGAGAGGGACTGGACCAAGTACATGTACTGGATAAACTGCATGTAAATAGAAACGACAAGGCCAACACAAGAGAAATGTATTAAACGTATTTAAGTGTTGCAAGTACTTGCAAGTTCTGCAGTTGTCTGAGGACGATGGTGACGATCACGTTCATGTTATAGATGCTATAGATCGGGTTCAGATCAGGCCATTTGGAAGGCCAGGGAAGGACATTGACGTTTGTATTGGCGATATAGGAACCTGTTACACCAGCTGCGTGGGGGTTGAGCGTGTTGAAACAGCTCCCTCTGGCGGTTAAAAAGTGGGAGGAGTTGAGGTAACAGGATTTGGGCGATATAACGATTTGCTGTAAGATTGCCTTGAACCACCACTAGCTCTGATGTACCCGTTTGGGACATGGCTCCCCACACCATGACGATTTGTCCACCAGAACTCTCCACCTGTCGAACGCAGTTCGGCGCAAAAGGTTCGTGGCGACGTCGATAGACACGTTGTTACCCACCCCATCGCTGATCCAAACGCCAGTTCCCCAGGTTCCATGCCTGTACCCTGTTGTACCATTAGACACGTCGTTGTCGGTGTAGTCGTGTCAGGACAGGTCCAACTTTTGGTCGATATGTTCGAATTCCCACTTCTCTCAGAAATTCTTCGAAGACCAGGACAATCTCCTGCAGTGTCCGTTACTGTAGCAAATCGATTTAAATTCGATTTATCTTGCACGTAGAGACAATGTGCTGGTACGTGTTCAGAAAACAACCTTGATCATGATTAATGTCATCAACAAGTTCTCTGTTGAGCAAACGCACGTACTGGGTCCTCTGGTGATACATACTAGTATATGTGTGTGTGAGTTGGGCTTTGAATGTGTCGATCGTCTAGGGCGTCTAAAATTCGTTATGTCTTGTCTGTAGGGACAATGTGCTGGTAAGTGAGTGAGCTGAGTTAACGTTTGAGTGAGTGAGTGAGTTTAGTTTTACGCCGCTTTAGCAATATTCCAGCAATATCACGGCGGGGGACACCAGAAAAGGGCTTCACACATTGTACCCATGTGGGGAATCGAACTCAGGTCTTCGGCGTGACGAGCGAACGCTTTAACCACTAGGCTACCCCACCGCCCAGCGGGGTTTGACATCAATAGGTCAGGTATATCAAGACATGTCAGCTTCAAACAAGGATGAAGTGATGCGGGTCTTAGATTTGGTAAAAACCATAAACATGGGTACCGTACTGTCAAACAGTAAGTATTTGTGTGATTTCAACGTTCACTGGAATATGAAAAGTATATGGATGGGGTATTTTTTCTCGAATTTCTACTACACGTTGAGTAAACATTAAGTATAGGTAAAACAATCGTTCAATTTTTATTGTAAATAAATATCCCCACTTATTGCACTAGAAAAATACTAACATTAACATGGTGACTAGCTATTTAGTTATTTAGTGTATGTGAGAAAACTATTTGATATTCATTGCTTCAGGCTGTGTGCATATCAATCATTTCGCTGGTAGTGAACCTTTCAATGACGGTGAAAGGAATACTCCATACAGCTGAAACCCCCCGTTAGAGCAGTATTAAAAGCTCTTAAAACGATCAACAAATATGCAATAATTAAAAAGAACACGTTTGAAGGCATGTTTAGGAAAAACATTATCGATCCTGTATTACAAAGAACATGCTAAAGACGATGTTAAAGAAACTGTCGCTCAGGAGACAAATCACTAGCAGAGCATGTGTACACACTCGCCATTCACACAATTTGCAACCAAACGTATTAATGTCACGCTCCACAGCAGTACTCCTCATAGTGAGTGAGTGAGTTAAGATTTACAGTCACATCGGCAATATTTCAGATATATCGTGACTAAAACAGGTTTAAAATTCACCATAAATACAAGTAAATGATAAAAACCTGTCCGTACTCCTCAGAAAATAGTTATCACAATATTGTTATCAAATAGGTTATCATTTGAAGATACAATCCAGTGGTGAATGGCAATTCCTGCTGACTTCTCCTTAGTTTCCTAAAAATATAATGAAAGCCATCAGAGCACTAGTCAGGATGGTAAAGATGAAGAAGGATATATAGAAACAAATTCTGTCCATTTGTTCGCTAAGACATTTCAAATATGTACATTCATCTATCTCAGTAACGTCGTTCTCTTCTTTGGATTCTTCTTCTGTGAGATGTCGGATTCGTTTAGTAAGAAATCATACCTCCAATTCTGGCGATAACACGTGTTGTCTTGCTGTGTGCTTGCATATGGTTGACACGTTGGATGAATATGCAGCAGATGAAGTACAGGCCACTCCGGTGGAGCTGGATACACACGTAAAGGGAGATAAGCGAGGCGCTAGTAGATGTTTGAGGTAGCATACCACTGATGAGTGTTACAAACACTGTAAGAGACAGGAAAAGGGTGATCGAACGGACAGTTTCTCGCCTGTTTCCGCCTTGACCAGGAACACGAATGGATTGAGTGTGGAGATGATCAATATGGACAGGACAAGATTCACCACATAATACAGCGACTGTCTCTTCAGATTGATGGAGACGCTGAACCAGTCAAGTTTAAACAGGCGTGTCAGCTCACTTTCATGCTGGCCCTTTATTCGTAATACTTCCCACTCTGAACTTTCAATTCATTTGCAGCCAAATGTGATATAGATAATTCATTCAGAAAATAGTTATCCAAGCCAATTTCAAGTTTGCATTAATGCTGATCAAAATGGGAAGAGGGTAATAATAATCTTGCAAGATGTGCTTACACTTCAACGTCAAACCTGGCACTCCCATCGTTGGTTACGATAACTGGTAGTTCATCAGAGCCGAGGTACGGAAAATAGGCAATGGTGTCCTGGATTACAATATTCGGCGTCCAGATCTTGTCCGCTGGAATCAAAGATGTGTAGTATTCCAGTACTCCGTTGGATTCCACTGAATCATTTCATCAACCCATTTGAATGTCGGGCAAAGTTTCGCGGTGATAATTTCCTGCACCATATCCAACTTCGTGTTGATCACGTGGATAGTCATATTAACAGAAGTGGGACCAGAGAGGTTTTTGAGTGGTAGGAGCCATGGGTTGTAGTGCTGGAGGAGAGAAGCGTCAAGCTCTCGAACATCCCCATATTTGTGAGACATCACTGATGGAGACAGCAGTATCAGCAGCGTGAACGTGTTAAGGAACCACATCACGGCTTGCATATCTTGCTCTGTTGATGGTTGCATGAACAATGAGGACACAAGCAAATCCTTCTCCACACGTTTTGAAGCATGTTTTGACTCCATTAGATAGGTTGACAATGGCATTAGTGCTACAATACTTCGAGGGAAAGAACACATGCTGATCTCAGGATCACCTATTTCTATCCAAGCAAGTACATTGACTGCTACATACATGATATATTGACACAGGATTGCACACACAACATGCTGGTGAAATAGTTATATACATGGAGGATCGAGTAGTGACAGGAGGCGAGACATTCCATCAGACACAGCCATATCCTGGCCGGATATCAGTTCTCCTCTAATGTCTAAGTTGGAGGGTGTATCCACACACATCATCACCCACAGTGGTCTGTCAAACACAGCATCACTGACAGTGCACATCACTTTGACAGACTCGTTATCAACAAGGTAGATTTTCCCCTTTGTTCCGTCCAGTATGAAACATAGGTGCAAGTCATGTGAGTCTCCAATCTGGTTCTGGCAGAGAGGGATGTCAGTGATGAGTTTGGTATTGTACATGACCCGGAGACACAGCTGATGCTTGTGCTTAGAGCATGTGACACCATGCACGCTCAGTCCAGCGTCTTGACTGCATGGACCATCTACTGGGGTGGAGGTCAGAGCTATCTCAAACATCATCTTATTCTCTTCTTTCACTTGTTTCACGATAAACGCAACCTTCACGTGGAACATGTCACGGTGACATCTCCTGAGGACCAGGGGCCGAGACGCTAGGGCATGTCTCCCTGACTGCATCCGACACCCGGTGTCTGGCAGAGGAGGATCCGGCTTGGTGTTAGTGATTACAGATCCGGATATAGTAACCTCACTGCTTGCTGTCTTGGAGTCCCATTCCAGGGCTGGACCTGAGTTTGAAACGAAACGCTTGTTGAGTGAGTGAGTGAAAGTTTTTTGTCACATCGGCAATATTTCAGCCATATCGTGACGGGGGAACCTTATACAACAATAAAATCACGTCGTCAAAGCTCAGTACATCACATACTTTTTTAAAACTAGTTGGGAAGCATATAGAATAGTAAACTGTTAAGTGACAACACAATATAAAAATGGGCTATAGATCGACAACAGCTGAATGTGGGACACCATACTAGGGACCATGGGGACTTACAGTGCCTTTTCTACCTGCATGGACCCTAGCTGGATTTAAACCATCCCCTCAACAGTTGTAGGAAAATTTAGCCAAAATTAAAAATCCTAAAAATCCTACGTTCTAAAAAGTTAGTAAGTTTATATATAACTTTGAAAAGTTTGGAACTTATTACGTACCCTCTCAGGAGGACAATATTTTTACAATGCTTTAAGCCCCTTTGAGGATACAGCCACTAACCTCAATTGATAATCTAAACTACCCTAAGTAAAATACCACATATCTATGTACAAAACATATTATTCAATTTTTTTGCTAGTAATTCTATTTCCTTCAAAAATACGAATTATCAAATGAGCAAACGTTTGCTTGGTATTTAATTCAGCTCAAGTCATCACATAGCCGTGCAATAGGTCATCACATATTCAGATGTATAACTATTCAAATATACGCTAAGGCGTTAGGTTTTTAAAGTGCATTTAGCGGTCTTAGAGTAACGATAAAGAACCGCAAAATTGAAAGAGTAGCTTTAATTTATCTTCTTATTTATACAATGCATAATTTATATGTTTCAGGAATGTACCAAGTAAGTGTAATTGAGGACAAAAGAGAAAACCAGAGTAGCAGCTAAGGCGACATATGTGAACATGCATGAATAATATTGCAGTGTCCTGATCCACCAAGCGTCCGTAACATTTCCAAATGTCATAATTCAATAGTAACTATAGTAGCGCTATCAATTTAAGCACCCGTTTAGACACAGACACAAGTATCAGTTCCAATAAACAATGAGAATCTAATTGTAAATCCAATTTCTTTCATGCATCTTTTGATCCAAAGAAATATATGGGTAACAGATCTGAAATATTAACTGTTCATAAAACGTGACACGTATGGATGTGAAATCCATGAACATCTTCTCTAAAACACTTTTATAGAAACCAAGTAGTATGCAAATTGCCAAACAGTATTGTCTTATTGGTTGGCATACACATAAGATGGAGCAGTATACCCAAGTGGATTTTCAAAGCAGACAAAAATGAAAATAAACATTAGTTATAATATCGAGTTAGTCCATGTACTTGTCCTGCTTTGATTATCTGTTAAAAATGAAAACAATCACCCCATTTCTTTGCGTTATCCATTCTGAGGTATTTGATCATGCCAGAAAAGAATTAAAAGGGGCAACGCCAAATAGTAAATCTGCATGACCTGTTCACAACAATTGTTGTCATGATGTTCGTAAAAAGAATTGACAAAAGAAAATGTAAAATGGTTTCTTGATTTTCCTCACCATTTGAACAAAAAAATGTTCAGTGTATTCCGCATCCTTGGCCCATGTTAGTTATGTGTTAAACATAGATGCAGCGATCGGTACCGATAAAACAAAGGAAACGTATGAATAAAAATAATTTCATGGGCCTTTGTGAACAGTTAAATGTGAACATGCACCCTGTAAAGGCATTGAAATCTTTGTAACACAAGGAACATAATCAAACATTTTCCCACGAGATAATACCTTGATATAAAGTACACATGTGAAGAAAATACTTGACAATGTCTATTAGTTGCTTAACACTCATTTGACATGTTCAATATGGAATGGTTACTTCTTACGAAATATTTTGTGGCGGGATGTGAAAATGTGATAAGAATGAAAATGCTTCCGTATACCAACAATGATCTTAGTATCGTGTAACCTCTGATCGGGTAAGGGAGAGTGTAATGTTTCTCTCAAGTATACATCACTTTTTCTGATGAGTACATATGATTTAATACACACATCGTTCCGGGATATAGGTTATAGGTTTTATGCTCTGTGTATGTTTATCGTGTTTTAACAACTCACATGTAACCTGTACTTCATTTCCAAACATTTTCTTGTGAACATCGTTGGCTGAAAATAAATGATAACTTAAATCTAACGACAAACAAATAGTCTCGGAGGGAAATATGTTTCAATATTAAAGGTGCTCAAAGGTATTTTTGAATGACCTTTTTAAAAGATCTGTTAAAAATTGATAGACATGCATATAAAACTTGGCTTTCTTGCGTTAGTAACATAAAAAGCTGGACACAAACATCGTGAAGGAAATACTGATCATCTAAAATCAAACTTCACTTATGTTTATGACCAAAACTGTCATTGATATACTCACATTATACATTTGTAATCGATCGTCAAGCGACAAGAGTAAGTATGGTTCTACGCCAATACGTTAACGCTTCAACCACGAGGGTACTCCACCGTCCCTTAAGTGACAACAATCTACATAACAATGTCATTAATATTCCTATTAAGTTGATAAGCATGCATACATTTGATTTGGAATTTCAAAATCATGTGATAAATAATCTAATATGTATGTAACTATTTGCACACAGAAAGTGTTTTCAACACATTAAAGTTGTTTCAAATGACCATTCACATGAAAATACAATGCCACGAATCGCTAGGAGCTTAAGGGATAATATACATCCTGATGGGGAGCCATGCAGGAAGCAGAAGTATCCTACGGTCCCTTGTATTGTGGCCTAATTTTGGCTGCTAGCGACCTGTTGTCCCTATTTATTCTGTGTTTGACAATTGATCGTTAAATATTTTAATGTTCTGAAACTATTTTTCAAAAATATATGATAATCTAGTTGTTATACTACCCTTCGTCGTCAACTTTGTAATGTATACATATATTTAATCTTAAAGTTTCTGTTGTCACTACATGGCTGAAATATTGCCGATGTGACGTACATTGTTAACTTTCTCACTCACACCTACCTTCAGGTAACTCTGCAGGTTCCATGGTGATGGTGTTATACATGGCAGGATATGAACAGTATGGTCGCCTCGTCGGGGAGAATGTGACAGACCGGACCAACCCTGTCGACTTGATGGTACTGATGAGGTGATCTAAGTTGCCAGGGACGAAAGTGACGCCCGATCTGAAAAACTCAATTGCCTTTGGAGATTCCTCCAACATGGCGTTCAAGGATCCTGCAGAAGATAACATCAGTTCTAGATCCTCTATATGGTCAGCTTTTCCCCTCATCTGTTTTGTATATTCGGTGGAAGACGCCAGTTTCGTCCGCAATGCCCGAGTTGACTCTAGGGCCTCTTCTGTTATTTTACTGGACTTTGTTGATTTGTCCTCAACATCTGACAACAAAATGGTCCTTCGTTCCTGCAATTTCTCAATCAAGTTGTCAAAGGTGTGATTGAGGTCCTTCTTAGCAGCATCTGCTGATACTTTGATAGTTTGTAACGTTTTCATCAGTTCCGCTTCTGTTGTAGATAGTTTGTTCACCTTCTCTTCGAGTCTGGCTAAAGTGTCGTCAGTATACTGAGCCTGGTCTTGGTGTGCTGCGTCCACAGATGTAACGTTATGTCCCTTCCCTTTATCATGGTCGAGTACAGTGCACGACACGCATATGATCTTGTCACATGAGTAGCAGTAGAATTGTCGTGGCTGTTGATGTTGACTACATTGATGTAAACGACGAAAGGTCTGGACAGGTCGGCCTTTCATCTCCTCAAAGGTAACTGTTATGTGATGTCTAGATAACCTGTGCCGATCATGAGATGTTTTACACTCTGTGCACAGGAATACACAGCAGTCATCGCATCTGGCCACAGCCTCGTTGCTGTCAGGGCAGTCTGTACATGGCAGACGGAGACCTTTGTGGATCTTCAGGTCATTAATGATTTTCAGGATGAGAGGTTCGCGAGGAAGGGAAGCAACTCCATCGGGGAGATGATGTTTGTCGCGGCAGATTGGACAAAGCAACGTCTCGTCCGCTTCCTGGTAGATCTTCTGCAGACAGTCGTGGCATACACACTGTACGCAGCATGTCATTCGACGAGGAAGATGGGAGGCGTCATCAAACTGTTCATTACAGACAGGACATTCAGTCAGGTAGTCCTTGATGACCGACACATGGATGAGGTCAGACATTATGATCTCTGAATAACGGAATAAAGAACGACTATTGTATTTTTCGTATTTCATATTTCGTCAGAAGCCAGATGAATATAGATCAAGTTTACATTATTTTCAAACAAGTTTATGTATCATGATAAAAAAATAATAAAACTACTTCAGATAAAAATAATTGGTTTTAGAAAAGCCTCCACAAAACCAGCTGTACTATGACTTGAATCTTTTATCATTATTCTAACAACATTTAGCAACTGTATTATGACGCTCTTTAGAGATGTTTAAGGTAAGTTTGTTTACATTCCATTTCATATATAGAAACCGGGAATCGTTCCTTAATCCGAAATATAAAGACTTATGGCCTAGATTCAAGTTGTTACTTTTTCATCCAATTTCACATTATTACTTCAGTCCGTTTGGCTCAAAATCAGACCGATGAATTGCAATCTAACTCGAAAAAAACACAGTTCACTATTTGTGACGAGGGAGGACTGCAAAGAGAGGAACAGCCAGGTGTACGCGAAGCACGTGCACAAGTGCCGACAAAGTCATTGATTTATTAACCTGTGCTATGCCTTCATCCTTTCTCCCATACCTGGCTGTTTCTCTCTTTACACCACCCCCCACCCCACCCTCGTAACATATAGTGAACTGTCAAAATTTTTATGATAGTTTTTGAAACAACTTATTTATTTTTAGTTCATAACTTCTGCAAAAAAATCACAGAGTTGGTCTGATGTTTTGATTATGATCAGTGTTTCATTGATTAGTCTATGTTTAGTAGTTTTCGAGTTAAATTGCAATTCATCGGTTTTGAGGCAAACGGACTATAACAGTGTTGTTAAGTGATTGAATGAGCAAGGTTCAAGCAATATTCCAGCAATATCGGTACAATGTGTGAAGTCCCATTTCTGAGGTCCTACGCCGAGATATTGGGCGGATATTGCTAAAAAGTGGTGTAAACCCATACTCAGTCAGTCCAGCAATATCAAAGGCGTGGGACACCAAAAATAGGCCTCACACATTGTAACCATCTGAGGGATCGAACCCGGGTCTCCGGCGTGACGAGCGAACACTTTACCCACTAGGCAATACCGGGTCTAAATAAGGTTTTTGCTGTCGAAATCTTGATTAAAAAAAGTAGGTGTACGTACTACTTGTTTCCTTGATACTGCTCGACATGAACAGTTGTATTTTGTACGGGTACTTATTTCAGCAATGTATGCAAAACTTGTTAAAATTATTCCTGCGAGTCTAAAACTTGTTTGTGAAAACATCATTAGTATTTGTGGGAGATAATTTCTTTCTTATCACCAGTCTGACGTGCATTATCTGGGTCAATCTGTATTTTCGATAAAAAAACACCCACGTATAATAGATGTTAAGATGTGAATCTCTTTGCTATATATATTCCAGGACTAGAAATGAGAAAACGTAGGGTGTATATTGTTAGCAACACTATTTTCCGACAACATTTTCGAATAATTTTGCGTTTCTCTTGGACCTGAGATAAAACTTCAGCAACAATGAACGTTTGCGCAGATAGATCACAATACTTCCCAGCATAGTGCAGTATTAAGGTGTCTTACATACGACTACATATGAGTCAAATGTTCCGGCAATCGACCTGTACAGCATTTTTAATAAGCCAGGCCAGCTAGTCGCTAGTGGGCTCGAAAGCTCGCAGTCACAGTGTCTAGCCCATCAAATGATCCCTCCAACCAGGAAACGATGACAAGCCAGGAGGTCTAAGATGTTGTGATATTTGGTGTCTCTTGCGTAGGTCACCAACTTATATTCATTATATAAAAGGATACATGTTAGTCACAGTGTATATCGCTTCAACTGCTCTCCTCAACCTCTCTCAGTAGTTAGATGAAGCAATCACAAGCCAGAAGGTCTGAGATGTAGTGATATTTGGTGTCTACTGGAGTAAGCCACTAACTTATATTCAATATATAAAAAAGATATATGTTTGTGTGGAATTACCCTATACACAATGAGACCCGTGAAGATCCGGGTTAGAATTGATCTGTAGCAACACATGTTTGTCGTAAGAGGCGAATAACGGGATCGGATGGTCAGGATCGCTGACTTAGTTGACGCATTTCATCGTATCTCAATAGCGTAGAAGGATGCACATGCTGTTTATCACTGGATCGTCTGGTTCAGATTCGATTATTTACAGACAGCAGTCATATAGCTGGAATATTGCGGCGTATAGTGTTAAACACCAACTATGCACAGTGATCAACGGAAGGACACTCGTAGATTCAACCTTTGAGTTGACACGATTGTTCAACCAGGACATAGTTTACTCATGTACTGACCAAAGTACATTACTTAGCTGTTTAACCCAGTTTTGTAGCATCGTGAAGTTTGTTTAAAATACCGCATCGGTTGAGAATAAACCCATTGTTATCACGTTTAATCTAAAAAGTGTCTCTCTTACCTTTATATAACAGCAGCCCTCCAGTTGCACACTGTTTGGGGAGGTTTCAGGACTGTTGGCGCCAGCAGTCAAATCTCTACACAGTATCTCTGCCCGCTGAATCAGATCCTCTTCCGCAGACTTGCACATGCGTGTTAGCTACTCTCGTTTTGAGTTCAGTAAGAACGGGATTACCGGTACTCTACATAGCGTCTCCCCTAGACACACAAGAAGGTGACTTCAACACATGGTTTCAGATGGAGGTTAATGAATAACGTATATTCAGCATTATTATGGTATGCAAGTTAATTGTTGCTGATTCTTTTGAGGGAATCATAAACAGTTACAAAGAGTGAGTTTAGCTTTACGCCGCTTTAAGAACATTCCATTGTTGTATATGTGAGTGAGTGAGCAATATCACCGCGGGGACACTAGAAATGGGCTTCACACTCACCCACGTGTAATCGAATCCAGGTCTTCGGGGTGACGAACGAACGCTTTAACCACTAGGCTACCCCACCGCCCAGTTACAAAAAAGTATTGCTTACGAGTGATGTGATGTTACAACTGAGAAAATATTGTAGTGTGACTTTACTTACAATAGCGAAGATACGCGTCATGTGACGTTACACCTGCGACAATACGACTGATGTGACGTTACACCTGCGACAATACGAGTGATCTGGCGTTACACCTGCGACTACATACGAGTTTTGTGTGGAATTACCCTATACACAATGAGACCCGTGAAGATCCGGGTTAGAATTGATCTGTAGCAACACATGTTTGTCGTAAGAGGCGAATAACGGGATCGGATGGTCAGGATCGCTGACTTAGTTGACGCATTTCATCGTATCTCAATAGCGTAGAAGGATGCACATGCTGTTTATCACTGGATCGTCTGGTTCAGATTCGATTATTTACAGACAGCAGTCATATAGCTGGAATATTGCGGCGTATAGTGTTAAACACCCAACTATGCACAGTGATCAACGGAAGGACACTCGTAGATTCAACCTTTGAGTTGACACGATTGTTCAACCAGGACATAGTTTACTCATGTACTGACCAAAGTACATTACTTAGCTGTTTAACCTAGTTTTGTATCATCGTGAAGTTTGTTTAAAATACCGCATCGGTTGAGAATAAACCCATTGTTATCACGTTTAATCTAAAAAGTGTCTCTCTTACCTTTATATAACAGCAGCCCTCAAGTTGCACAGTGTTTGGGGAGGTTTCAGGAGTGTTGGCGTCAGCAGTCAAATCTCTACACAGTATCTCTGCCCGCTGAATCAGATCCTCTTCCGCAGACTTGCACATGCGTGTTAGCTACTCTCGTTTTGAGTTCAGTGAGAACGGGATTACCGGTACTCTACATAGCGTCTGCCCTAGACACACTTGAAGGTGACTTCAACACATGGTTTCAGACCGAGGTTAATGAATAACGTATTTTCAGCATTATTATGGTATGCAAGTAAGTTGTTGCTGATTACAAAGAGTGATTTTAGCTTTACGCCGCTTTTAGCAACATTCCATTGTTGTATAAGTGAGTGAGTGAGCAATATCACGGCGGGGGACACTAGAAATGGGCTTCACACTCACCCACTCATCGAATCCAGATCTTCGGGGTAACGAACGAACGCTTTAACCACTAGGCTACCCCACCGCCCAGTTACAAAAAGTACTGCTTACGAGTGATGTGATGTTACAACTGACAAAATATTGTAGTGTGACTTTACTTACAATAGCGAAGATACTCGTCATGTGACGTTACACCTGCGACAATACGACTGATGTGACGTAACACCTGCGACAATACGAGTGATCTGGCGTTACACCTGCGACAATACGAGTGATGTGGCGTTACACCTGCGACAATACGAGTGATGTGGCGTTACACCTGCGACAACACGAGTGATGTGGCGTTACTCCTGCGACAATACGAGTGATGTGGCGTTACACCTGCGACAATACGAGTGATGTGGCGTTACACCTACGACAATACGAGTGATGTGATGTTACAACTGAGAAAATACGTGTTGTGTGAGATTTCAACAATGAGAATACGTGGGGTGTACGTTACAACAGTGAGAATATGTGTGACCTGGAGTTACAGTAGTGACAATACGAGTGCCGAGACGTTACAACAGTGATAATATGTGAGAGGTGGTTTTACAGCAGCGATAATACACGTGACGTGAGATAAGTTTGATGTGACGTTACAATAACGAGAATCAGTGTGACGTGACACCACAACAGGGATGATATGTGAGTATATGTGACAGTGTTCAGCAAGAATACGTGGCATTAGGTGTTAAATTGCCAGAATACCTGTGATGTGACGTTAAAACGGCAAGAATACCTGTGATGTGACCTTAAAACGGCGGTAATACGCAAGATGTGACATTAATACTGCGGGAATACGAATGACGTGGCCTTAAAACGGCGAAAATACGTGTGACGTGACCTCAAAATGGCGAGAATATGTGTGACGTGACGTACAGATCGTGGTCTGGGAATCCATTCAACTCAACTCTAAACACACCTTTTTGTGAAATGTGGTTATGTGATAAGTCGGGTAAGGACTTAGGCTCTCGATGTAGCATCAATGTAATTTTACAAGGGACGGGTAGGTATTCAGTTTTCAATGTCAAATGTAATGTCTAACATATAAAGTACTACATTGACCTGTACTAAGTAAAACTACACTATGAATAGCATGTGTAACCAGGAAGGGGGAAGTAGATATGACCGTATCATATTTCAGATGTTTCATTATTGTCACGTGTCATTGTTGGACATTGTTTAAAGAATTTTTTTTCCAGCTATGCTTTACGTAGTTTTAAATACATGTCAAAGTTTGGTTTGATTCCTTAGATTCCATATACCTATATGTGTCATTTTCTCAGTGATAGTAACCGTTTATACATTACGTCCGGAAATGTGTCAAACACACAAATTGAGGCTGGACGTCATTATTACATGACATTGGTTTCCTGATAATAAAACACTTAAGAGATATCTGTCTTCACACTAACATGGCATTAGTTTCCCGCTTTGGAGACTTTTAAGGGATATGAGTCCTTACACTTACATGGCATTAGCTCCCTGATGAAAGACATTTAAGAGGTAAGTGTCCTCATGACTTACATGACATTGGTTTCTTTAAGAGAGATGTCTCCTTCATGTAACAGAGTATCTAACTGGTGCGGTAGTAATTTGCTTGACGCTGTTGAAATTAATAAAAGCGACAAAACTCTTTCCACGTCCATTGAAACCTCAGCTGAAAGTGTTGCTTACTTTCTACGAAGGCATTAATGAGCAATACTTCCGCAACATACAAACACACGAATGTGCACAAAGGGAAACCGTCAACACCTGTCATCTAATGTAACTGAACTGTCAGATAATTAACGTGTAAGTTATCTTATAAGGTCTGCTCATTTCGTTTTTTTCCCACATTCAGGTGACGTCTTGAAACACCTGGCGTGTACACCTGGGATATTGGTAAAAGGGGTCCACTTAACATCTCCCTTAACCATTTTAGCTGGTACTGTTGTTCCAGTGACCTACTCCATCTGGATAGATACATGTTCGACTTCCTATATGCAGGTGTTTAAACCATGGAGTTGGCGTTTAAGCCATATGACTTGCACTGCACTTACATCGGAGGGAACTACCACTGATCATTCTTGAGAACATTTAGAGAATTTGTTTTATCGGCCACAGATATTTGTTGCAACGTTTTGAAAAATACTTTTTTCTTTGTCGCAACAAAGCTACAATTAATTCAACATCTAATGAGCAGCAAAAGCTTTATGTTTTGCCTGATAACCAGCATATGACATGACTTATGAAGCAGAAGATATCTCTAACACTGATCCATACCTTTTACTAAATAGTAGGATCTACTACTCTCCTTGTACTTGAGTCCTTGAGTCTTAACGGTAGCCATTACTATGTTGTTTTGAGAGAAAGTCGTCCGTTGTGTCAACACCCAGTAACTCCTAGAGTGATACCAAGTACAGTTGCCATATATCCAACTTCTTATCGTTCAACATTACAATGGGCATACACATATCCGTAAACTGCATCTGACTGTTGTCTTGACACACGTTAATGTCTCCACGTGTTGTCTCGTCAAACCTGAGCATATCTTGCAAAAACGCTTGTTCTAATATGTTTCACATCAACAACCATATAATTCTCACACATTTATATTACTAGTTTTGTCCACTGACGACAGGTTTTCAAGCTGTCTTTATGTATTTTTCATTAATGCATAAATTGTTCTCCTCGCGACTGAAACACTGCAGATGACGTCAAAAGAACCTAATGACTCGTTATTGATGAGGCTTAACCTAAAGTGAAAATACATTTGCTAACTAATCACAAATTGAAAGGAAAATACACGAACTAAAACATCACCCTGTTATCAGGGGTTTATTCGTGGCGTTTAAGTATGATTGGTAAAAAGGTATCACCCTGTTCCCAACAAATGCTTTGTGTAGATATTACTTTTGCTCGTTAATTAAAAGATTTAACCTAACGGTGTATTATTGTTCATTCCCCCTGAGTATTGTAGCACTAATGATATTGTCAGCCTATACTAATGGAGTCAGTAATTTGCTTCACGTCGTGTGGAGAACTTATGGCTTGTGTCCTCATTGTTCAAGCAACCTTCAACAGAGCTCGACATGCAGGCCATGATGTGGATCATGTCCACGTTCACGCTGATATTGCTGTCACCACCAGTGATGTCTCACAAATATGGGGATATTCGAGAGCTTCATTCGTCTCTCCTCCAGCACTACAGCCCATGGCTCCTACCACTCAGAAACCTCTCTGGCCCGATTTTTGTCAATGTGAGTTTCCAAGTGATCAACATAGACAAGTTAGATGTGGTGCAGGAAATTCTTACCACCAATCTTTGGTTGACATTCAAATGGGTTGATGAAATGATTCAGTGGAATCCCACAGAGTACTGGAATACTACACAACTAAGATTTGAGCGGAACAAGATCTGGACGCCGAATATTGTAATCCAGGACACACTTGCTTATGTACCATACCTCGGCTCTGATGAGCTACCAGTTATCGTAACTAACAATGGGAGTGCCAGGTTTGACGTTGAAGTGAAAGCACAGACATCTTGCAGGATTATCATTACAGCCTTCCCATTTGATCAGCATGAATGCAGACTTGTAATTGGCTCAGATAACTATTTCCTGAATGAATTATATATACCACATTTCGTTGCAAATGAATTCTCCATTGGTGAAAGTTCAGAGTGGGAAGTGTTACAAATAATGGAACAAAATAACACTGAAATGACACGCCTTTTTAATCTTCACTGGTTCAGCGTCTCCATCAGTCTGAAGAGACAGTCGCTGTATTATGTGGTGAATCTTGTCCTGCCAATCCTGATCATCTCCACACTCAACCCATTCGTTTTCCTGGTTAAGGCGGAAACAGGCGAGAAACTGTCCATATCAGTCACCCTTTTCTTGTCCTTTACCGTTTTTGTAACACTTGTTAGTGCTATGCTACCCCAGACCTCCAACAGCTCATCTTTCATCTCCCTCTATGTGTGCGTCCAGCTCCATCTGAGTGGCCTGTACGTCATTTGCTGCATATTCATCCAACGTGTCAACCATATGCAAGCACACAACAAGGCGACACGTGTTTTGGCCAAAATTGGAGGTATCTTTGGTACAAAAACATTCCGATGCCTCACACATATGGAATCAGAAGAAAAGAATGATGTAACTGACAGAGATGAAAGTTTGTATTTGATACGTCTAAGCGAGGAAATGGACAGAATTTGTTTCTATATTTCCTTCTTCATCTTTACCATTTTGACCAGTGCTCTGATGGGCTTCATTATATATTTTGGAAATCAAGGAGAATCCAGCGGGAATTGTCATACACCTTTGGGTTGTATCTTCAAATGATAACCTATTGGATAACGATATCGTGATAGTAATTTCTTCTGACATTTTCTGAGGAGTCCTGCTGTGGGGAATGAGACATTAATACGTTTTGCATATGCAAATTGTTTAATAATGAGAGCTACAGGTAGGGATTCCCCACATGGGTACAACAATGGTGAAGCCCATTTCTGCCGTGTCCCCCGCCGTGATATTGATGGAATATTTCTAAGAGCGGTATAAAACTAAAATCACTCACTCATAGAAAGTGAATGAAGTGACTGAAGTTTGCGCTTGTAAAATCCTATTGTTTAAGGTGAATCAGGTCGATTTTAAAAACATGATGG